ACTTAACAATCAATATTATAACCCCCATTAATTTCATTTTCATAGGTAAAACTGTAAGAGATTGGAAAATCGAAAAACTTCATTTACAAAATTAACAGTCAATACAATAACTCAATAAGTTACGTTGGTCCTCGGAGCTTGGAAGTTATACTTGGAGTTGGAGACTGGAGTTGGGCTGCTTGCTTCGGCAGATGAAGGGCGGACGCGGAGTTGGAGAGGGAAGGTCAGAGCTTCAAAGTCAAAACTGTGTGTAAGGTATTGTGGTCGATTCTGCTGCCAAGAGAGAGATGAGGAGACAGGAGATAGACTGGATAGTGGAGATGGGAGATCAGAGTGGACTCAAACTCAGTGGAAACGGGAGGAGACGAGTGGAGAGGTGGATGGGGGGTGGGGAGAGGGGGAGAAATTAGGGATTTGTGGTTTGGATACAATTTTTTTTTTTCCTTTATATATTATAAAAAAAATCTTCCAAATTTGGGGGGCACTTGTCCACCCAGGCTACCCCAAGTCCGCCCCTGAGTACGTGTGAGCAATTTCATTACAACTAGTTATGATTGACAACAGTTTGTCTCAATTGAGAAAATCGTTTTATGATGTCCATAGTGGCCGCTTTTGTTTATCACCATCATTGGTGAATAGTATTATTCATGTTGTGCTTATTCGACATATTTTTCTAAGGTGATTCAACGGCCAGTCACCCCATGATAGCTTTAACTTGAAAATGGAAAAGAAATTGATAATATTTTGAGAATAAACTATCATGTATTTTTACCAAATTTTCCTCTTGAAAGCTATGTCCAATGGCAAAATTGTTTTTAAAATATGCAATCGAGGCGTTGAATTTCATGAATAAATTATTGGAGACAAAGTGCACAATGACCTAACAAGTGAGGACCACCTACCAATAATTTTGGTTGAAATTATTATTGAACTTTGTGTCATAATTATTTGAATTATGCTACTTGTACACAATTTTATGTAAATAATGGTGTCAACACCCTCACCCGAAGAAGGGCCCACTTCGGATAAAATAACATATATTCGAAGTGGATCCCCTTTATGTGAGGGTGCGGACACCATTAAATACATAAAATTATGTACGTGTAGGTAAACCCAAATTTATAATATATTAAATATTGCATCAAATGATAATAATTTTTGGACAATTTTAGCTCTACTACTATTTAATTATTTCAATAGTACTTTACTTTTCGTTTGTCAATCTATATTTAATTGAATATTAATTATTAAATATGCACGCAAATAAATAATTGA